TTTTTTTTTTTTTAAATTCTGTTCCCTATGCTCCTGTATGAGTGAAACCATCCTGTATTTTTCTTTTTCTTTCTGGCTTATTTCACTAAGCATGATCCCTTCTAGCTCATCATGCTGTCATCAGTAGGAGGGCAAGTGGATCTTTTTGATGAGAGATTTTAATAAATTGCAGTTTTATGTTAATTTATTTCTCTTTATCATTGGCAACATTTGACAGCCTTTCTATGTGCTCTGACCACTTTCTTGTTGAGGAAACAGGACCTGGATTTTCTTTTGGCATCAGAGATGGCATATGTTCCTTTTGTCTTACAGGGAAAGGAGAAAGTGATTGAAAAGCATGAACTTCAGATTAAACACACAAATCTATTCGGTTTTATAAATTCATCATTACTGTGTGCACATACTAGTCATAGAACCTAGGTTTCCTGTGTTTTATTTACTGCTTTGTTGGTATTACCTAGCACACACTTTTCACAGAGCTGGTTATCAGTAGATATTTGTGAAAGGTTTTATGATTAAATTTAACTTATAAATTGATTTGTAAATAACAAAATTCCCTCACGTGTATATTTGTTTAAGGATGTGATGTTTTTCTCCTTTATATATCTTCCCTGATAAAACTTTATAGCTTTATAATAATTAAATCTACTCCTAGACTTGTAATTTTGTTAACATTATGAATGAAATCTTATTTTCTGGGGTATATAGATGCATTTTTTATGTGTATTTAGCAGCCACTTTACTCAAATCTTGTTAGTAGTTTGCACACAAGCATTTAGTTAATGTAGATATAGCTACATGCTTTGGCTGAGCCAACATGACTAACCACAACCTTTTTCTAAAATAAAGTTTTCTTTTTAGTATTACAGATACATCAGCAGAATGAGAGAAATTGCATTAAAAATGTCCTTACTTGTTTTAGTCCTGGAAGGTTAGGCTATTTTTAAGATCTTCCTCATCCTTCCTATGGATGGGTATAATTAACAGCTATTTTGCCCAGGTGACAGCTCTGGGCTTCACTGTGACAATTAGTTGCTAGTTAACTGGTTTGTTCTTGGAGGGAATGTCATTAGGTTAAGTTGGACTTAAAACAGCTGAGAAAGAAAAGCCTGTGTGTTTCCCAGCAGCCCAAGAGGATATTACTGATCTCAGCTAGCAACTCGTTCTGAGCAGTGGAAACAGGGGTCTCTTTGGTGCCCTTCTACCAATGACAGTGGAGTGAGAGAGGAGCATGCTCTCTACCCATGTAGGTGGCTTTATATATATATATGTATATGTATATGTATATATATATATGTATATGTATATATATATATATATATATAATAGTTTAATTTTACATCATTTTGTAGCTGGCTTAGTTTTTAAGTCCAGAAGAGAGGTTATAGTGACTCCAGGCAGACCTGCTCTGTCACATGTAGGTGAGAACTTGTTCAGAGAAGAAAAAGTTGGCAGGAGTCAGTGCAGTAATTGCTTTGTTCCCTCAGATCCAGCATGTTCAAGCGCTAAACATTCGTCATTGTTGTATTTGTTTCCTACTTTCTGGACACGTAGTAAAAGGTTGGGGGTATTCTCTTGACCCTAGAAGGCAGAGTAATATCCCTAGGCATGACTGCATCTGTATCCACATGTAGGGAAAGTGTTATTAGGATCAGTGACCCTATGATCATTGCCTCATGCAGGTCTATGGATATAGGATATACTCTCTTTAGAGCTGAGCATACAGAAGAGAGCGGTTTGTGGTGGTCCCAAATGAGGTCGTTGGAAAAGTCGAAAAATTCAAAGGTTTGATCACCCATGCCAACCTCTGGGGTCTATTCTGGCCATTCTGAACAGATGAACCATAAAGCTCATTTGAGAAGTGTGGATCTCTAGTGGGTCTGGGACCTGGGGTGCCTCTGTGAAGGACTAACCTGAGGGATGACTGCTATGTCCAGTATGCAGTGAGTCTTTATTGTGTAGAGTGCTCTTAATATACTCTACATTAACAAGCTGAATCAACAACCTATTGACTTAATCTGTCTAGACTGTCTTGAGCAGTAACAATAGCGATATTAACTTATTTTTTATATGAGGACATACATATATATAATTAATAATGTAATAGTTTATTTTTACATCATTTTGTGCATTTTTCCATCTCAGTTGTAATCCCCTTGGGCTTCCCATCACTAAATCACCCAGATGCCTTCACCCATAGTCCAGTGCATTTCCCTCCCCCCACTGTTTTTGATCCCATTCTCCGCTCCACCCCACCCCCATAAAATGTCTCTGGTCTATAGCTGTTCATTATTATTGTTGTTTTCTCACTGGGTCGGTTATATTCCTGCTACCAGTGAAATCATCCCGTATTTTTCCTTTTCTTTCTGGCATCTTTCACTAAGCATGATCTTTTCCAGCTCCACCCATGTTGCTGCAAAAGGCATGTTTTTTTTTTTTGGTTGCTGAGTAATATTCCATTGTGTATATGTACCACATCTTTTTAATCCAGCTATCCACTTTTGGGCATTTGGGCTTTTTCTATGTCTTTCCAATTATAAATAAAGCAGCAGTTAACATGGGGATGCGGGTATCTTTTTGAATCAGTGTTTTGTAGATACCTAGGAGTGGGATTGCTGGGTCATATGAAAGATCCATGTGTAGCAGTTTGAGGTACCTCCAAACAATTTTCCATAGTGGTTGTACTAGTTTGCATTCCCACCAGCAATACAGGAGGGTTCCTTTTTCTCCACATTCTCAGCAACATTTGTTGTTGCTAGTTGTTTAAAGATGTGCCATTCTCACTGGGGTGAGGTGGTATCTCATTGTGGTTTTAATTTGCATCTCCCTTATTACAAATGATGTTGAACATTTTTTCATATGCTTGTTGGTCATCTGCATGTCCTCTTTGGAGAAGTGTCTTTTTAGCTCTTCTGACCATTTTCTGATGGGGTTGTTTACTTTATTTATTTTTGTTGAATTTCATCAGTTCTTTGTATATCTTTGTGATCAATCCTTTATTGTTAGTTTTGTGTGAGAAAATTTTTCCCCAATCAGTGGGATGTCTGTTTTTGTAATGTCTCTTTTGCTGTACAGAAGCTCTTTAACTTGATGTAGTCCCATCTATTTATCCTTGCCTTCACTATCATTGCATTGGGTGCTCTATCTTAAACGATGTTGCTGAAGTGTATGTCATGTAGTGTTTGGGTGGGAGAGACTCTAGTTTATTTCACTTATTATGATCACCTCAAGTTCCACCCATGCAAATGACAAGAGTTTATCTCATTTTTTATAGCTGTGTAGTATTACATTGTGTATATGCACCACATCTTCTTGATCCACTCATCTTTTTGTAGGGCACTTGGGTTGTTTCTACCACTTAGGTATTGTAATTAGCACTGGCATGGAGGTGGGAGTGCAGATATCCTGTGAATTAATGTTTTTACATTCTTTGGATAAATGTTAAGGAGTAGAATTGCTAGGTCATATGGTATACCTATTTTTCATATTTTGAGAATCCCTTCACATTATCTTCTGTTGGAGTTCCCTCACCAATATTTATTATTTCTGATTTACATATAGTTTGAAACCTGGGAGCATAATTCCTCCATTTCCCTCTACCCCCCCCCCTTGTTTTTCTATTAATATTGCTGTGGCTATATAGGTTCTGTTGTGTCATATAAATTTCACTAACATTTGCTGTTTCTTTGCATCAAGGTAATTCGAAGGGAAAATCACATAACAATGTAGTGGTCCTTTGCTCATCCATGAAGTCAAAGTCTTCCCCCACAAGTTTTTCTAGGCCAAGTTGGTGGATATTTATATAATAACTATGTATTTAGGTATTAAATGATTACATTACTATACCTTTGGTGAATTAAAGTATGACAGGGAAGGTGGTATTTGCATAATACCTACTTATTGATTTGCCAAGAGAGGCAATTGGAGAGCTATAGCCTCAAAAAACCATGACTCCTCACAGAGATAGAAGATTAAAGAAGACAAGACAAGCAGAAGCTCACTGGACATGTAATAGCATAAAAATGAGGTTGCTTTTCTGGTACAAGCAGATGCTATGCACTGATTGATATTCAAAAAGAAAGGAGGTACAGAAATGACACAGCAAAACCATAATTGCCATCTCTCCTCTTATTCCTGGTCAGTATCTAGCTCTGTTAACTTTACAGCAAGTT